TTTCGCTGAATGTTGTTCACTTCTTGACCCCTAGGCTTCATTTTATCCTTGGGCCTTAACGCCGCGTTTATCATTCTTATCTTTGCTACTGTAAAATTTTCATCGTAATGACTTGTCTCGGGTGCCTCTGCGGACGGAAACCGAGACAGATAGTCAGCCATCCCCATTTTTGACCCTTGTCGATGTTCAACTTTAAAATCGTATGGCACCAGGCGATCATACCATCGAGTTAAACGACTGAAAAATGTTTTATTTCCTTTTGGTGACGAATTCAACAATGTAAGTAGAGCTTTATGATCAGATATCACTGTGAAATACCGACCGTATATATAATTCCAAAAATATTCCGTGGCCCACACTACCGCGAGTAATTCTAATTCGTTTGTGGAGTATTTGTTTTCAGCCGGATTAAGATAACGAGATGCAAACGAAATCGGATGCCACCGGGATGCGCCATACTGTTCAAAGACGGCCCCTAGGCCATCGTGGCTAGCGTCACAAATGATTCTAGTTTCACGGTGAATGTCAAAATGTCGTAATTCGACAAAATTTTCCACAATCGATTTTAATTGTTGGAACGCATTTTCGCAAACGGGTGTCCAGACAAAATCGTTATTTTGGCTCGGTAGTGGCCTTAACGGTGCGCTTAACTCGGCAAGTTTGGGTAAAAATTTGTGTAAGCTGTGTAGCGAACCCATCAATGATTTCAACTGCTTTCGAGATTTTGGGGTTTTCAAGTCTTCAATTGTTTGTGTTTTTCTTACTAAGGGCGTTATACCACTTTCCCCAATTCGAAATCCAAGCCATTCGCACTCCGTTTTCGCAACATCGCATTTTCGCAATTTTAACGCGACATTGGAGACGTTCAGCTTTTTCAACATATTTTCCACTAACGCAATGGGTTCGATTTTAGTTCATTTTGAAGCAATTAAGATATCATCAATAAACGCGTTGGCCTGGGGGAACTCCTTAAGTAAATTATCTATTACCTTCTTATTAATAAGTCCCCGTGGATTTTCCGCCGACTAGTGAGAAATTGCATTGCTCGCTTGTTTTTTGTTCTAATGCGACTTGTCCGTACGCATATGTGAAATCCAATGTTGTAAAGTATACCTTCCCCGATTTTTTCTCCGCGATAATCTGACTTACTCCGTCAATTAATTCGTCAATATTCGGCATTTGGTACTTATTTTTGTGTACCTGTTTATTCAATTCTCTTGATTCTAGTGCTAATTTTATACTTCCGTCCTTTTTTACTGTAATGACGATAGGAGAGACGAAAGACTTATCTGAGCACTCTTATAATTTTATGATATGTCCTTCATTTATCAGCCGATGAATCTCTTTATCCACCTTTTCTTGTAGACTGATTGGCACCCTACGCCCTTTTTGTTGTATGGGCTTCAAATTTTCAAAAAATTCAGCTCTTACTTTCGCATTCCCGATCTTCCCTATCCTAGTAAATAAATTTGGGTACAACTTACAGAAGTATGTTTGCAATTCGTCGTATTCCTCCTCCTCTTGACTGGTCCCTTCCCCTGTGATTCCCATCACTTTCTTCCTTTGAACTAGCTCGAGACCAAGGGTGCCCATCAGGTCGCGCCCAAGGATTGATTGATGATTTCCGGATATTACTGACACCTGTGCTGGTGCTGCCCAGCCATTTAGTGACATCATCACTGTTACCTTTCCTAGTATGTTTATTCGGTTGTTGTTGTAATCCAGAAATTCCTCTTTTGACGGTTGTAGTTGAATATTTGCTTTTCCTAACGTTGTTTTTAGGTCGTTTATGCTAAAGATAGTCACTGGAGATCCACTATCTATCCACAACCACATCTTCTTCCCTGACACCTCCACTTGAACGCGGGCCCCAGGGATCTTTAATTCAGTCTCATTTTTCTTCCTTTTTATTGACATTACCATGTAGTCATCCGATCCCGACGTCATGGATTCGTTTTCCCCACACCCCTGCTGATTCACCCACGATACTGGGTCTTCGTTCAATTCATTTACGTTCTGTGTACTTTGATGATGCTCATTTTCCTCCCTGACCAATCCAACTCGTCCTCGTCCTTTCCATTGGTTAGTACCCCTTCTAATTCCTCGGCATGTTCGTTCAAAATGTCCCAGTTTTCGGCATGAGTTACAAGTTGCTCCTTTTGCAGGACAGCTCGCGATGTGATCCAGGGTAAAATTTGGCGCGTCGCAATTGTAACACCTACGGTTATTTCCGCTTCCCCCACTACTTGATCCTTGGGTATATCCTCCACGTCCCGCACGTCCTCGGCCTCGAAAAAATCCTTGTCCCCTTCTTATATTATTTACTGGTTCTTGTTTTATTGAAATTGCCGGAGCTGAGGAAGCTGGTTTTCCCGTATATGCTTTGTATGCGCGCTCACCACGTTCATATGATAAGGCGATCCGGTAAACTTCCTCCGGTAACTTAGTTGATCGTGATAATTGCCGTTGGCAATCCGATTCCCGCATATTCATAATGAAAATATCACGGACGTTTTCGGCCGCGTTTGCAAAATCACATCTTCCTGCTAGGGCGCTTAGCTCAGCATGAAATTTTTCGAAAGTTTCGTTCTCACGTTGTTTTTGTCCGTAGAATAGTCCCCGCTCATGAGTTACATTCCTCTCACGTTGGAAAACATTTTGCATCTCATCCAGGACCCGTGGGTACCGTTCCGTTTTAATGTTAACCGTCGGTTTCCGTGCTTTGAATATGCGTTGCAACTCATCTCCGATACAAAGATACAAGTTAGACCTTAACTTCTTTTCCGAATCGAGACGGTTTTTTCCATTGACTTCTTCGGGCAACGCCGTGATAGCCGCCGCATTTAGAGTACTCGCAAAATAGAAATCATCGGGATCAATGTCGTATTTTTCTATCATCCCCCAGTGAAATTTAATTATCCATTCCTCCCAATATACTGGAGGTTCCGGCGTTCGTGTTTCCCAAAATGCTACTATTTTTAATGGATTTTTCCCCCTTCCTTTTTTCTCTGCTGGCTGCGCCATGTTAAAGTCGTAAGCTTAGAAATTCAAAAAGGTTGTTAATAAGTTTTATTGTAGGCAAACTGTTAGGCATCAAATCGAAATCTTACTGCGCTCTTTTATTTCAGATCTCATCGGACATTAGAGATCGCAAGGTCAAGACAGCAGGTCCCCAGACAGAAAGAAAAATTGATAGCACTTACATAAACTCAAACTGGTGTCTATCTAGAAGAATTGATAGCACTTACATAAACTCAAAACTGGTCCCTAATCAGTTTTCCTTCTTTAATCACGTTTTGACTTTGGACCAAAGGCTACTATAGCTGAGTATTTTTAATCTGTTTAAATCTAAGTTTAAACCAAATTCAGCTAACTATTAAATTGGTTAAAAAAATGAGAAAGTTTTAACTAAACACATTTTTTTTGAAAATGTCTACGTTTTTTTAAATTTTTTTTCTACAAAAATAGCGCTCATGGAAAAAACTTATGAACAGTTGCTTTTACAAATTATTCTGACATGTTCCATAAGCTACTTGCTCAGCAATCAGTCACACTAATTTATCCTAAAAACTTCCTTTTCGTAGTGTATGTAACAACATCAAAATTGGTGTATCAATCTCTGAACCAATTTTTGTGAAGATCGATTATGTGCGACTCATAATCTACAGTTAATGCCAAATTGTTGGCAATAATTTTCGGTTAATGAATCAATACGAAACTAATTAACCTACAACTGCTCATTTGGACAACATTTGGACAACGAACTTTTGTGTTTTCCTGATTTCTACGCAACAAAAATTGTGTATCAAAAAAAATTAATTATTCTAAAAAGCCATGATTTTTGACCATTTAACATGCTCAAGGTCACAGATATTGCCAACAATTTGGCATTAACTATACAAAGAACTCACACTTGCATCCAGCGATTCAGATACGATTCCTAAGATCAGTTGAATAATTTGTTGAATCAAATTGAACAAAGAATTGTTATACAGTGCTGATTTAAATTATCCGTACAAAACGCCTTAAGCTAGAAGTTTAAATTGAGTTTTTATCAAGTTGGGTAGAGTGTAGGCAAAAAATGATGAATACAAACCTTGCTGAGATTTTAAGCAGAAATAATATCATGCAATTTGTTTTGCGAAATTCGGACTCGAAATCTTTCGCCAGAAATGGATTTTTTTTTTTGGTTTTTATTTTTAGTCAATCAAAAGTTACGCCAAAACCACATGATCGATCACTGAAATAATTCAATCGAATGAGCCTCGTACAAACCATAAGAGTGATATCTTCTCTGAAACATTGCTCAAAATAATTTATATTTGTTTGATAGACAAAACAAAACCGTTTTTACTATATTAGACACCATTTTTCTTTATTTAAAAAAATTAAACTTTTTTTCGTAACATTTTTCGAAGAATACACCTTCTGTAAAAATTTTTGGGCCATGTAAGAGGCTCATTTTGACATAATTATTTCAGTTATCGATCAACTAGTTTTGGCGTTAATTTTGATTGAATAAAAAAGCCAAAAATGATCCATGTTTGGGGTAAAACTTGGAACCCAAATTTCGCAAAAGAAATTGCATCAGATAAGCTGCTGAATTCAAAGCAAGGTGTGTCTTCTCCATTTTTTGCCTAAACCCAACCCAACTTGAAAAAAAACGCTGTTTTAAACGTCTAGTCCGGATAATTTAAATGAGCACTGTAGCCTGTAACAAATTTGTCGGACGTCCCAAATTTTTGAAATAATTTCGACCTTCAAGCTGAAACTCATTAGAAATAGTTCTCTGAAGTTGTGACATTGGCTTTTCCTCGGCGTTGTCTGTATTATTTTCTATTAACAAATTGCAGGTCATTTTTTGAAATTTTTTGAAGTTAAGGGCTTGAAACTATATTAATGAAAACTGACTTCTGAAAAAGCACAATCAGTTAATTTGTTCTTTTGACTGTTCATATGCAATTATGAAAATTTGGTTGTAATTTCAACTATATTTTGCTGTCTGAAGGTCAGAATTATTGCAGAAATTTAAGACGTTGTCCGAAAAATTTGTTAAAAGCTATCATACAACAAATATATTTGCAACAAAGTAACTAATTAAAAAACGAGTGGAACCTCAATTATAATAGTAGGAAAGGTGATTCTGTAAGGCTGCTACAAAATAAAGCAAAAAAATAGCTTTGCAAGTTTTTCTGTCAAACAGACAGAGCGGGACACAAATTCACACTCTCATTCTTCCCCCTCTCCCCCCTCGGCTGCAAACTGCTCCTCCAGATATTCAGCCACCCCCTGGAAATAGGAGAAGACGAATGTCCTGGATAGATTCTGATTGACAGTTAGGAAGTGCAGCTCCTGTCTGAGTGAGTCAGCGAAGGCGTCCATCTCGGCCATCTGCACCGCCTCCGCCTTCTTCTGCATCACCTCCCACTGTCTCCGCAGCTCCTGCACTTTCCGCTCGATCTCTTTTTTGGTCACCTCCTCGTAGTATCTAAGCAAAAAAAAATAATTTTTCCATTTTGTATTTTACATTTTTGCCGCTATATATAACGATTTTTTTCCGTTATAATTCACGATTTCTTTTTTGTTATATTTAACGATTTTTTTTGTTATATTTAATGATTTTTTTTCGGTAAACTATATTTTTTTGTTATAGTAGTCGAAATCAAAGCAAAACACCTTGACACTGATTTTTCCGAACGAAGAACACGGAAGATAAAAATGCAATTTTGACTTTTTTATATCTGTCTATAAGGAAACTGCTGGGTACCTAATTGCACATTGCACGTAATATTCAAAATCTAAAGAAAAGATCCTCTCCACGCCATACACACATACATTCATGATACGTCCACCATGATTTTACGCGTAGATTTTTTTATATTAATGAAATATTTTAAAACTTAATGTTTATGAATCGAATGAAAAGGGAGCGAAAACGAATTTGAAAAGAGCCGAACAGTATGTTAACCTTCGCGCCTCCGCCTCTGCCTTTCGACGTCTTTCTGCCTCCAGCTTCGCCATGAGGTCATTGTCCGCTTTAGCCAGAGCCTCGTTAAGACCCTTCCTCTGTCGAAGCGCCAACACTCTCGCCCTCTCAGCCGGAGTCAGTTTATCCAGATCTACGTTATCCAGATTCTCATGTCTCAGATAAGTTTTGCCCGTTTCTGGATCTACGTAGAGTTTCAACCCTGGGAACCCTTTGGGTCGCAACATTTTCTTTCCAGTCACGGGGTCAGTGAACTCTTCCATTTCACAGGCCATCTCAATAAGTCGACCACTCTTAGTTCTCATAAACAGTTTTCCAGTGACTGGATCGGTTTCAAACTCAGCGTCTGGGTCAATCTCGACGAAGTTTCCGGAAGCGGTGCGCATGTATGTTTTACCAGTTTTCGGGTCGACGAAAACGTTGACGTCACTTGCGACTTCGTGAAGTCGTCCACTTTTAGTTCGCATCACTAACTTTCCAGTCAGCGGGTCGATCATAATTTCTGCGTTGTCGTCAATTTCCAGAATTTTTCCAGACTTAGTCCGCATGTAGCTTTTCCCCGTTGCCGGGTCGAAAAGGACGCTCCCATCGCTGACGAGCTCGACCATTTTCCCCGATGCAGTTCGCATGTACATTTTTCCACTTGTAGGGTCGGTGAGAATGTTTCCGTCTGTCCCCTTTTGTTTCACAAATGTCTTGCCCGTTATTGGGTCCACGAATATTTCGACATCCCCTTTTCCCACTTCTATGAGTCTGCCAGATTTGGTTTTGAGAAACATTTTACCACCAGGGCCTAAAATGCAATCTTTTCAACATCCTGATATATGCTCAGTTAAAGCGAAATGAAATTAATTGCAAAGCAGTTTGCTGATTAAAAGCTTTAATTTAGAAGAAAACCTGTTGCCAGAACTGCACTAAGATTTCTTGAGAATTTTTCTGACGATTATCTATAGCGCTTCTACCGTTTTATAGCAAAATCATGGTTCAAGATTACCGCCACAATTCGTGCTCAGAAGATAAGAAAATCTAAGCCCTAAGCCCTGAGAAAATCTAAGCCCAATTCTTATAGGAAGTCAACTGAGTGCTGGAATCTTAAAGTTGCTAAAAAGTCACGTCAAAATGGCGATGCATATATAAATGGAAGTCAGTTCAAAATGGAATCAATAGAAACATGAAATTATATAATGTGTACAGTTTGATTTCCATTATAGTGAATAAAATATGGGGGATTTTGTCCCAGGGGGATTTGGTCCTATGGGGGATTATATCCTGGGGATTTTATCCTGGGGGATTTAGTCCGCGAGCGGTAAAAAACGCATCTATAGGTTTTGGAAACTTCAAAAGGAAATTCATGTAACCTTTGATGACCTCTGACCCCTCTGGGGGGTCAATTAGTCTTCCCGATTTGGTTCTGATGTACATCTTCCCCGTGGCAGGATCTATCCACAAGTCTCCGTCCATTTTCTCCGGCGGATCCTTCTCAATTATCCGACCCGACTTGGTTCGGATGTACGTTTTACCCGTATCGGGGTCCACGAAAACAGATTCGCCGGGTGCTCCACTTCTCGTGGTAAGATAGGTTTTCCCAGTGTTCGGATCGGTGTACAGAATCATGTTGTCGTCAACTTCACTCACAATTCGACCCGAGAGCGTTCGGAGGTATTTTTTGCCTGTTTTCGGATCAGTGTACATTTCGAGTAATTTACCGTCGGCTGTTCGCACCATTGTTTTCCCCGTTTCTGGGTCGACAAATACCTCCATACCCGGGTTACGTCTTTCGCCCAGGTACATTTTGCCGGTAATAGGGTCAACATACATCTATAAAAAAAAACATTTTCATATTGAATGACTGGATTCTTTAATCAAACGAGGTTCCATAGAAAATTACCTGATAAAGCTTAACTGATTGAATTCCCATAAGAAATTATCGCTATTGGCTTATTTTTTGTCTGGTTTTCTGGGAAATGAAAAAGTGCGTTTTGATACTGCGGCATGAAAATTCTACTAGAATAATGACTAAACTTTAGATTAAAACCGCAATCCTAGACTTTCCAAATGCACAACTATAATTATAAAAAACTGGAATATACACTTGTTAAAGGGCGTACTTTCAGCAAGCAGAAATTTTCTTGACGGAGACTTATCAATAAGTGCTGGAAAAATCTTTTTTTTTGCACAAAATATTTCGAAAACACAAATCTTTAGAACCCTCCTGCTCCATTCGTACCTCCAAATGGTCCCCTAGTTCCTTCAGTCTGCCTGACTTGGTGCGGATGTATAGTTTGCCAGTGGCCTCGTCTCTCACCACCTCCACAACCTCCCCGTCCTTCGTCCTCATGTACATCTTGCCAGTGAGGGGGTCAACTGTCAGCTCGAACCCAGGGTCTTTAGTGCTCCTGGAACAGAAACCCCCACACATGTTTACTCCTCCCCGAAAATCTAGTTTGGAATCTATATCTACACTTGGAATCTCCATCCCGAAAATCACTTCCGAAAATCTATTTTGGAATCTAATATCTCTCATCTCTTTTAAAACGAGAAAACATTTAGAATAGCTTAGGAAATTTGCCTCCGGGTTGCAAACTTAAGCAACATTTTTTCAAAATTATCTTTGTTACCAACTTGCACATAACCATCAAAATCAATCTCTTTCAAGGATACCGGTTGCTGTGCAAATAGCTTAGAATGTTCCGACCATATTCGTGAAAAAAAAAGTATTTTTTTTCTAATTGTCTTCAAATTAGTGTCGTTTTTAGTGGGCGGTGTGATTCGAGAACTATACGATTGCTTAGAAATTAAGTGAATTAGGCGTGATCGATAACAAATGTCTCCAAAAAATGAACAAAAACAAAAAATGAAGAAAAAACGTAAAAATTTTTTTTCTAGCTTTAAGTATTATTGTGCACATTTTAAAAAGTTTTTTCAATTTTTTTTGCGAAACAAGTGCAAATTAAATTAAATTTTTGGATCTTTAAATCCTATAAAAAAAACAATTTTCCATAGAACGATCGTTACTCGGTCGCGTTTCTCGCTCGAAGTTATACTAAATCTCAAAATCTTCAAACCAATTTTTATCGATACTGGGACAACTTTTGCGTTCGAATCACGGCTGAAAGGGTTTAATATGATATACCACTCGACCCATTCCGATGATTAATTGTGGTACCTGATTTTGGGTGGAACACAAAAAGAGAAAAGAAAAAAACTAAAACACCCGAATACAAAAATCCTTCCCATTTTTCAATAGTCGGAACAATAACTTCTTTAAGCTTTTTTTCTAAATATTCTATTGGAAGATCTAACCTGAGATTTTTTTTAACTTTAAGTTTTATTGCGCACATTTTTTTAGAATTTTTTTTTGCCAAACAAGCGCAAATTAAATTAATTTTTTGAATCTTAAAAAACTTTAAAAATTTTTGAAAAAAAAAACTAATTTTCCATATAACGAGCGTTCAATAGTCAGAACAATAACTTATTTAAGCTTTTTCTAAATATTCCAATGAAAGATCTAACCTGAGATAGGTCTTGCCAGTAACTGGATCAGTGTAAACTTCCATGTTGCCCAACTCCTGTAGACGTCCACTCTTAGTCCTCAAGTACCTTTTCCCTGTTGCCTCGTCAAAGACCACCTCGGCCAAACTTCCATCCGGCATCCGCATGAATGTTTTTCCAGTGACTGGATCAACGATTAATTCATTTCCCTGATCCCCGGTTGCCTTTTTACCAATGTAAGACTTCCCAGTGACAGGATCCGTGTACAACATCATATCCGATGGCAGCTCTCGCAAGTTTCCAGACTTCGTTCGGATGTATGTTTTCCCGTCGGCCCCTTGAAAAAGTTCTAGAACATTTCCAGACTGGGTTCTGATGTACTGCTTGCCAGTAACTGGGTCTACAAAAACTTCAGCTAGAAAATCGCTGTTGTCTGGAGGTGGATTCCCGACATAAAGCTTACCAGTTAGAGGATCTCGATATACCTCAACTCCGGGTGGTAAGTCTCTAAGGTTTCCACTTTCGGTTCTTAGATACATTTTACCGTCTTCGCCTTGAACTAATTCCAGGAGTTTCCCACTTGCTGTCCGGATGAACTGCTTTCCCGTTACGGGATCGATGATAACTTCGGCTCGCGGGTCTTCGGGAGGTGGTGCGGTGCCGACGATGAGTTTCCCTGTTTTCGGATCGGTGTAAAGTTGCATTCCCGGTGGAAGCTCTCGAAGAGTGCCGCTTTCACTCCGCAAATAGATTTTACCGTCCTCTCCGACAACAACTTCTAAAAGCTGACCGTCTTCTGTTCTTATGTACTGTTTGCCTGTTTTTTCGTCGTAGAAAACTTCCATTTTAGGCTGAGGTGGTTTTTCTCCGAAGTAAAGTTTTCCGGTCAAAGGATCTACGTACACTTCCATGTTCCCAGGCATCTCTTTGAGGGTTCCAGACTCGGTTCTTAGATAGATTTTACCCGTCACTGGATCTTTAATAATTTCCATAAGTTTTCCATCTTTGGTTCGGAAAAACATTCGTCCATCTTCATCGACGAAAACTTCCATTCCCAGGTTTCGTTTCTCCTGAAGCCACATTTTTCCAGTGAGCGGGTCTTCCCATATCTCCATGTTGTCCGGAACTTCAAAGATATTTCCAGACTTAGTCCGAAACATCAGTTTTCCCTTGGGGTACTCTGCCGATACGGTTGCTTCGTCAAAGAACAATTCTAGTTTTTCTTTTGTCTCGGCTATGACGAACATCTTTTTGGTCTTTTTATCGACTTCGATTTCCAGTCTAAGCAAGAAAAAGTCTATGGCAAACAACATTTTGATGAAAACCTATTTGTTCATTCTGAATGCAATTATTAAGAGGTTCTATGATTCTCATTTTGCTCTCATGTATCAATTGAAAAAAGAGCGGAAAATTATCTTTTCCAAAAAGTCACAGAGCGTAAATTAAGGCCAACAAATTTAGCAGTTGTGTTAGGGGCTCAATGCCATGGAAAAACTTATGTTAAAAACCGACGGTAAGGCGAAAAGCTAAATGAGTCACCTTGGAAACTGTTTCCGTTTGCGCCTCCGCATGGGTTCGCCCGTCTCGGGGTCAATGTACCACTCGTACTCCTCCGCCTCGTCCCCCATGATGTCCGAGAAGCGGTTTCCGAACAGGCGAAGAGCGGCCACGGGGTCTATGTTGATGCCGAAAAGGTCTGCAATCAGAGCACTCACCAGTTGAGCTCCGATCAGAGCCGCCTAGGAAGGTATGAATTTATCAAAATTTATCAAAAAATTATAAAAATTAAAAAAAAAAAATTTAAGTTAATTGAATTTCAAAAGTTTATCAGAAAACTATCAAAAAATTATAAAAAAAATTAAAGTTAATTGAACTTCAAAAATTTATTAAAGCTTATCAAAACAAATTTATCAAAATGAAATATACACAACAATAATTCATAATGAAAAGAGGGAACATTAATCATGAAAATTGTTCAAAGGACTTTAAAAACAGCGAGGTTTACGTCGATATCGCAGTTTATGCATCGGATATCGAAAATCGTTCTATCACACAATGGTAGGTTAGTTGTAAAATTTGCTAGTCAGTATAAATGGTTGCTAATTAATTATAGCCTTTTTACTGACATGACTGAAGGTTGGCATCTATGGGAAATTTTCATTTACAAATTTTATCAGACATTTCCAAATGGATCCGGGTTTTTTTGTAAATTGTTGAACCCAATTTTATATGAAAACATAAATTCAACCAATTCTGATGGTGACATTTTGTGTCAAATATATTTTTTTGAGCGTGTTCAAACACAAGAAAAAAAATACCCAAAGTTTCAGCATCATGGAGTTGTTGGAAAGTTGGTTTCTTCTAAGCGGGTTTAGTTGCGAGTAAGGTTTTCATTTCTTTTCAATGCAGAGATTACAACTTTTAGCTAGCTTACCTTTCCGGTCAGTTTTTTCTTGTGTCGTAACTTCCGAAGCATCTCCTTCGCGTACTCGGAACCCGAAAGAGCACCGATGTTGGCCGTGATTCGCTGTCGGAGCAGCTCCGCCTTGTCTACTTCTTGCTCCTCGGGAATTTCGAAGCCGAACGTTGCAACGCCCTTCGCCATCGCGCCAAATGACGTAACTTCAAATGAAGTAACTTCAAATGACGTAACTTCAAGCGAATAGGGTAATTACGTCACCTGATTACGTCACCTGAATTCGAAATTGTGAGAAAATTAGCCCGAATGTGAAAAAATACTGTTGTTCACGACGCTTAATTGGTATAAATTGATGATAATGTTGTTGAATATATTTGATAAACACAGTTAGTTATAATTGCATGTAATCAAAGGTTAAGCATTAAATACACATTTTTAGATGGTAAATACTTTTAATATGCTGTTATCAAAAGTAGTCAAAAAGTCATATGAGCATTCAAAAATTTTAGACTGTAATTGACAGTTTTTACAAACAATAAGTTTGTCATTCTGACCAAGCTACAAATTGACTAGAAAAACTATAGCATATGTTCGCTTAGTTTCTCGCTGAAATTTAGGCAATACCTAAAAAGTTCGTCGAATTAGTATCATATTTGAGCCTTATTAGTCTTAATTTGAACCCAAAGAGAGAAAAAAGTCGATATTTAAGCAAGGGTTTTAATTTCTACATCCCAATTCTTGTTTCATTTTCAGGATTAATAATCAATTATTTTTCAGTCGCAGCGACAGACTTGGTCTCTCATAAAAGGTGCAAAAAACTTGAAGATCCTAATTTATGTAAATAAACTAAATTCGAAAGTTCTTGATCACAGTGAGACACAGGAAAGCCCTCATCTAATAATAGTTACTATTATCATCGATAATTCTAGTAACCACAAATGTGAATAAGTTTTAGGAATTTTCAGAAAAAAAAATGGGACTTTTTGTTCAAAATGACACGTATCCCATGCAATGATTTGTTTTTCTCTGTCTGACTGTCTCACTTTTCAGCCCGCGAAGCCCAACATATCAATCCTACTGCTGTGGAAGCACGTGACGCGAAGCAGAATATGTCAAGCCGTGTGTATAGATGTCCATAAAGAACATACTATGTCTTGAAACTGTTCTGGCAGAGTGGCTTTGCAAAGAATAACGAACAAAAAACATTCAAAGGTAAAAAAAATATTGGAATTGTCTAAACTATGTATTTAAAATGGAGCTTGGTAAGAACACGATTGTACAAAATGAGCAAAATTACAGAATATACATAATGATAAAAAAGCTAAGTAGAAAAAAAAACAAAGCTGCACTGCAAAATGTACATCTGAAATATACTAAAATTTTACTAAAATGCAGTTGAAGAAAAAAGTTTTTGGTTAATGGAAAATGAACAAATGGAAAAGTTTTTACTATCGTTTAGAATTTTAGTTGAAATTAGTATCAAAGTCTTCTAGTGTGTTTCTCAATTCTGAGTCGATTGTTGACGATATTTCGCTCACGTTGTCTGTGTCCTTCTCGCTAATAAAAGATCTTGAATGGCACCAGGAAAATGGTCCGATGGGAGAACTGAACACGTCTGTTTTTAGAGAAACTGATTGTGTTGCTCCCATTTGGGTTGATTTTGCGGAAGACCAGTTGTCTCGGCTACTTAGGTGGGTTTCCGTGACAAACTTTTCAACGGATTCAAGAAGTCTGAAGGTGACCAACACAGAAAGCATGCAGCTGGAGGAGTAATTGCGGTCGGGCTGTCGTCTAAGACAAAGATGGTCGCGTCGAAGGTTTCATTTTCAGAAAATTGGTCCACGAATCTACGTTCTCCTTAGAACTGGGGGGGGGGGCTTAGGTTTCGTCTTGGTCAGGAAATTGGCCTCGCCTGAGTGGGAATAGGGATTGTCCCTCTGGTGAATTCGCGTTTCCTTTCGGTCTGGTAGTATGCCTCGCCTGAAATGGGATGGGGGTTGTTACTCTAGTCTAGACGCATAAGTTCCTACATCGTGCCTCTAGTTGTAGATGATCCAGGTAACGCTCTAAGCTGGTCAGCGACCGCCCGTCCGCTTGACTGCGTCGCGTTCGTATGTGCAACTTTCTCATCACCTGTAATACTCAAGTTAAAGTTATGATCAGTTGGTACATCCTGGCAAACATCCTGGCAATACATCCTGGCAAACATGATACTCAAAACGTCGTCCAAGTATGTGTCACTTAACGCATCCCAAAATTTAGGATTTAAAGCGGAAAATGAACTTGTAGAATTCTGAGGCGACTCGGTATTTCCGCTGGGAGACCATTGTTGCCAGATGTTGGGTCGTTCTGGTTGAACACAGTGTCGCCTGAGTGAAGATGTCCGTTGGGCTTTATTTGGAGGAGAAAACTTCTTTTTCCCGGCTAAAATAAGCAAATTGTTAGAGGGACTGTCATGTGTGTCGAAGTTATTAAAATTGAAATTGTTGAGAAACCTCAAAGTATTTTGCATTTGAAAGCATAATTTGTGTATTGAGCGTGACTGTGTTATACAAAAATAGTATTTTGCATTATAAAAGTATTTTGCATTTGAAAAGTATGATTGCTCGTTTGTCGGAATTGAAATATGGTTCTCCAATTTTTCAATTAGTATTATTTCTCCCTTGGTCAACTTTGTCGGTAACTTTCGGCGTAGTTGTCTCCTGGGTTAGGGGCTGTGCGTTTTCTGCGGCATTCGAGGCCAAAGGAAGGCAGTCCTCCGAGTCTGTAGAAGGTTCTAGATCCGCATCTGCATATCTGTCCTTTGCCCTATCGTGTAGTTTCCATTTCTTGGCCCACGGTCAGAAATGATCGATTTCCCTTGATCTATACGTTTATCAAAGAAAAACAGCTTTTTCCAATTAGTGTTTTCTGTTCGATTGAAATGTTTCTCAAAATAAGTACCTCCGATAAAAGATTGTTCAATAAATTTTAGATTTCAGATGGTTTTTTCGATTGAAGTGTTTAATTTAGGTTTTAGTAGTTCGTATAATATAGGCAAAAATTAAAATTTCACAGTATATACAACTCCCTTCCACAACTCTATTGGATCTATGATCTGCCATTGTACAACAAATAGTTTCGATTTTGAGTTTTCCACATTATTATATAAAATCGTGAGATATCAAGCATGATCCATGGTCGACTCTAATTTACCTTGGAAATCTGTGAACGTGACAATTGTGCTTTTTTTCTTTGTAAGTAGACCCCAGATGATTTTGTCGTCCTTAGTCATTATTTGTATCAGTTTTTTTTAACAATAGCTTATGGGAATTAGAGGTGATTTAGGTAATAATTGGTAAGCTTTATATCGTTTCGAAAGAATAGCCTGCTTACTGGATCGAAATTCATCTGTAAATTTAATGGCTATGTTCTGTTCCCTTGTTGAGTTTTGGCTTTCTCTGTTTCGACGTTCTTCTTTTTCGAAGGTAAGAAACTATACTTCAACAAGATGAAAAAGTGTAAAGCTTTATTCATAAAGAAATGCTTTCCAAAATAGATTTTGATTTGTCGGAGTGTTAGTATAACGGACAGTTTTCTGATTATTGCAAATTGTGGCGACCAGTTTTTTATCAGACCGGTTTTTAGTGCAAAAAGTAAAAACTGGATCTTTTAGCAGACTTTGAGTGACAGCTCTTTGGAGGCAGCAAAAGTGACGCATAATTGACTGACTGAAATAAAATGTCGCATAATGTTGGACTGAGCTTCCCTATTTGGACAATTATCTCAAGATTTGTAAATCACAAATTGTTAAGCAAAACAATCTAGCTAGTTTAACGACAAATACTGATTCATGCACTTTTCTCCTCTCGTGCCGAATCTAAGCGCAGCGCAGCCACGGTACTCTAATTGCCAATGCCGAGTTTCAAGATCGCGTTCTGGTTGTTTAGTTGTTTTGAGTCTGCTAAAAAAAGTCCGGTCTGCTAAAAAAACCTAACCCCGCAATTTTTAATTGACTGGGCAATAAACGAGATAATAGCAGCAATTAATTCAAGCTTTAAGGTACCAGTTGACCTCGCGTTAAAATTTTGACTAATGAAACTGCTCAATTTTTCCACTTCATACGGGATAGCATTCCATACAATTGCATTTACAGCGATCGAAGGTCAATCTACAGAATAGTATTCACAGGATTATTAAATTATGTGTTAGTTAAAGTTTGATACAGAATTTTTTCTACTGAGGCTACCCCACTTTTTTTCGTCATATTGAGAGGAAGATAAGGTTTTGCACGAAGGAAGTCTGGATAAAAATTGTGTAAGCCCATGTTTTTCCTTGCTAAAGGAAAAAAAAATTAAAAAACAGAGACTGTTTGCCCTCTAGGTTAGCCTACCTGGCATTGTTTTAAAACCTTGATATACTGGAAGAGCTGACATAAACGCCTTATTGTCTGTAACAATTCCGAATTTCTAGCCATGAAGTAGTTTTTAAAAGTTTGGGAGCCCATATAACGCCTAAAAGTTTCAATTTGTTGGTCGAGTAATTCATTTTGTAGCCACTTAAAATTTTTGAAGCAAAAGCGAAAGTTTTCCACCCCCCTTCTTGAAATTGTTTAAGAGTAGTGCCCAAACCGTTGTTGAGGAGTTTTTCTTCAATCTTGTTTATACTTCAAAGTCAAAAGCCAATTTTCAGTATTATTTAATTTCTGCTTTCATAATTTCGAACGCAATCGAGTGACTATTTTTTCAATCGTTCACAGTTTTTTTGTTTAGCAGACGTCGTTGTGGGGAACTTGAACTTTGTGGAATTTCTAACGTATTGGTTTATCGAACCGAAGAAGAGAGCGGAGTTTGGAGAAGTTTTTTGCTACTGGGAGATTTGTTTTGCGTCAGTTTTACCAACCAAAAGTCTAACTTCAGCTTTCAAAACTTAGAAACCCAGCCATTATTTTTCTTTTCGAAAAAAAAACTCAATTTTTCTCGTTTCAATGTCAAAATGTTTTGCCTGAAAAGAAAGTATTCGATGCATAAATGATCTACGTTCCTCTAAGGATTCCGTTGCCGTATCGTCTATGTATCTATTTGTGAACAGTAACCCTATTAAAAGGGCTATCATGACTCGTTGCAATTCATTGGACATATCGTTCAGCCATGAACTCCGGTTGGAAAACGGTAAGTGCCTGTGGTGTTGTCGCCAACGATGCTAAAATTGCATTATTTGCCTGTTTTCATCGCATAAATAAAGTTGGCTGTATGCTTTTTCAGAAAAAAATTACTAAACCAGACCTGCTCGTCAGCTTTTTCCGATACCTGCATAGCATAAATAATTTTCACTTGATGTAAATTCGGCAACTGATATTTGTTTTTGAAAATCTGATTAATCAGCATGTTTGTGGCCAGTGCGAATTATATTTAGACGTCTGTCTTTCTAGGTCTTACAGTCGAACTTTTTAAAGCAATCTTTGTCACCTTTTGCAAGTTTTTGATAT